GCAGTTCAATTGCCATCCATTTTAACTTCACGAATTTTTCAATCATGTTACTACTTCCTCCGTTTTGCTTATAAGACAGAGGGTAATGCTCATGTCTAACCCAGTAATTTCTCGTATTGTAGAAATTTTAATTTGCTGTGGGGTTCTTCAGAGTGGAGTAAGGCTCGCTTATCCAGAGAGAATATCTTAATATAATGCGCGACTTAAAACCAACATAGGTCCCAGATACGCATTTAAAAAGCTTTTCATTGAGGTCCACCATCCAGCTTCTAATCGTCTGGCCCTCAAAAGCCCCTCAGGGCATCTGGGTGGTGGTTCGAGAGTGCATCTTATCCACACATTGAGGTCCCCAGCTCAATTGAAAAGTCCCCAGTCAATTGAAAAGAATCTGAGAGACACTTATATACCATATTTGATATATTAGCCACTTATTTGGAGGACTGGAGATTTATTTTCGGATGTTATTGAAGGACTTGATCTTTCAGAACTGTTCTTGGCAATGTTCTATTTGTGTTATCCTGGCGTTAGTAAATGCTCTCATTCGGTATTCGAATTGGTTTGCTGAACTGCCGCATTATTAGATAAATTTCAAAGACGCATTTTCTGGCCTAAACCTCAGTCAATCTGGCGAAACTACAAATTCAAATTGGCAATTATGAGATAACGTTTGTCAACCCATTTAGTAGGTATGGCTGCATTCTCCTAGGCGCGAGCATTGTTTTAAATTTTACCTAAGACCTCAATACATCAGCAAAATATGGTATTTTTGAATATTACTGTTCAGATGGTCTTCGTGAATTAGCAACAGTGATGGCCGTAGCACAAAACCCTGTGGAATGTCACTGTATACGGATAAATTAGGTGACGTAGTTCTTGAATGCGTATACCGAATATACTGTGGCATAGTAAACTTCATTCCGGTCGACCGCGCATCCACTAGGGACGTATCCACATGTCCTGTCAATAAGCAGCTCGTGCTTTACTGTGTCCATACACTGATCATCCTGATTATTGCATAGTTTCCGCTTCAAATTGCGCTTTGCAATGCAGCCTTCCTTGGTGCCTGCTTTCCATTTACAATTTTGTGCCTGTTCGTTAAGTGTCATAGACGCAACTGAATAAACTTGCATCCTACCTTTCGCGCTGGGCGGGAGGGAGTTTGGCAGAGGACCGATAGGAATTTGTAACAGGCATCCATCATGACCGATCTGCCGTCATTGTTCAAAATCTCGCTGCCCCAAGTTCATTCAATTCAATTCAATTATATTTATTCAAGACCCGTCGGGGTCCCATCAAAGCAAGTAAAAATAAATTTACATGCGAATTTTATACGAGGTAGGAAAAATCTGTACAAAGTGCAATACATAGTTTTTGAGATTAGAAGACCGTTAACCAAAATGAAAAACGAAGGGTGAAAAAAAACTCCACAGCAAAATTTAAAAATGATTGTTTTAATTTAACAGGTGAAAAAAACCCCTCAAAAAATAGCACCAGAAAAATGCAGGGAGGACTGGCCTGCATGTGGCGGTATAGAATGAAATATAGTCGGACATCAACATGGCCGAAATAAATGTCAGCTGTATATGGCATTGTGTAACGGATTTCATAAAATGGTACGTAGGCGGGTCGGTCAGGCCTGGCCTCTGTGTGGCCTTGAAAAAGATAAATAAGTGGCGAAATTGAAAACCAGTCTCGAGCTGATAGGAACCCAGATGCGGTCGGTTTCATTCAACCGAGTCCATCCGAGCATGGGGGAAGGGAGATGCGACCAGACTACTAGTATATGGCAAGTAAAGAAGGCTTTGTCAAAATCGCCGATGGAACGCATTCTGTAAGTGCACGATGACAAACAGTCTCGAGGCGACAAGAACCCAGATGCGGTCGGTTACATTCACCAGAGTCCATCCGAGGAGAGGGCAAAGGAGATGCGACCAGATTACTAGTATATGGCGAATATAGAAGGCTTCGCCAAGAGCGTCGATGGAGCGCATTCTGTGAGGGCACTGTGAAAATCAGTCTCGAGGCGATAGGAACCCAGATGCGGTCGGTTACATTCATCCGGGTCCATCCGAGGATGGGGTAAGGGAGATGCGACCAGTCTACTAGTATATGGCGAATACAGAAGGTTTCGCCTAGAGCATCGATGGTGCGCATTCTGTGAGGGCACGATGCATGAACTGAAAAATTGGAATAATTAACATTTCTGGTGAGGGATCTTAGGTAGCGAGACTACTCATAAAGGAAGAAAACGTGAACAGATACGAAAATTTAATGGCGGCATGCTAAATTCCCGGTGGCCCTATATCAGTGTCATAGAAAAAGTTGTCTGGGATGGACGAGGAAAATAATAGTTTAATCGAGTCAGTATTCAGATAAAGGCGTAGCCTTCTCTTAAAGGTGTGTAGATTTTCTGAAGATCTTATATTTATTGGAAAGTTATTCCAGAGGAAAGTATACCTGGAAGCGAAAAAAGGGAGCGCTTAGAGGTGGAGGACGATGAAGGAGGCATAATTAGAGACGAATTGCGAAGATTGTATGGGCGACTACTAGGGGTAAGTGCTGAAATCCGAGGAAAATTTGAACTATGATTAATGCGAAAGAGGAGACAGAAGCCCGCTTCTAGTCTTCGAACCCATAAAAATTTTAGGTTAATGAGCTGGCATCTATCTGAGTAGGAGATATTGGGATGTTCCCTATCTAACAGTTTTTTAGAAAAACGTCTTTGGACATTTTCCATTTTTAAACGACTGGCTTCATTCATCGAACCAAAGGATGGGCAACAATACTCGAGAATGGGAAGTACAAACATACGATAGAGCCTTTATTTAATTTCAGGAAGATAGAAATTGTAAGAAATAAAGCCGCAAATCTGGGCAGCTTTGGCTGTAATTCTGTCAGCGTGCGGCGAGTGATCAAGATTACCAGTGTAGCTTAAACCTAAATCCTTGATGGTGGTACATTCATGCATAGGTGTGCCTTGAAAGACCACTGGTTGGGGTAGCCTATCAGGTCCAAAGCACATATAGCGACACTTAGAAGGAGAGAATTCCATTAGCCATTTTGAGCTCCAAGCTGAGAGAGCAAGCAAGTCAGCATGGATTTGCTCCAGGCAATGAAGGCTCGTAGATTTTTTGAAAGAATATACACATTTGAGATCATCGACATAAATAAATGATTGAGAATGTTTAACTGCTGCCAAAATATCATTTATGCAATGTAAGAACAAAAGAGTACCTAAAACGGTACCTTGTAGGACACCACTTATAATAGGACTTTCACTGGAAAGTGAAGATCCCACCAAAACCTTTTGTTTACAATTAGACAGGTATGACCTGAGAAAGTCTATTAGTGGACTGCGAATTCCCATAGCTTCCAATTTAATCAAGAGTCTTTTATGTGGAACTTTATCAAAGGCTTTACTAAGATTAAAATAAATAACGACAACAGATATGTGATCATTACGAAGAGAGGTAAGTAAATTGAGAAACGACAGATGACATGTTTCACAAGATCGATCTGGTAAAAAACCATGCTGGGAAGGGCTAATAGCTTGATTGGCTATGCAAAATTCAGTAATTTTTACGGCGACAATTTTTTCAAAGATTTTGGCGAGAGAGGGTGCTTTATGGACACCTCGATAGTTACGTACATCAGAACGACAGCAAGACTTAAATACTGGAATAATTATAGAAGTTTTCCAATAGTCAGGGAAGAAGCCATTTACGAGAGATACTGAAAAGATTTTGCTAAGCAGAGGAGGAAAATCTCTTAGCTGTTTTATCAAAGAGTTTGGGCTATTGTCCGTACCTACTGAGTGAGAGTTAGGAAGATGGCTTATCAGTTTTTGAATACATTCAGGAGAAAAATTAATGAAGCTAAGAGAAGCATCAGACAACGAAGGAATTAAAGGGATCGGATCAGTTTCAATGGTGAAATGTTTGGCAAAGAACGAATTTAAAATTCCAGCTTTGCTCAACTCCTCAGTAATGAAGGTATCACTAGCACTAAGCAAGGGCAGAATGACTTGGTGGGACTTAGCAGATGATCTCTGACGGAAGATCTGAGCAACTGGTTTAGAAGCATTCACGCAATTAATAGCTAAAGACACTCTTTTGCAGTCAGCCGTTCCAGACGCGCTGACCTGAAATCTCACGACCGACAGCTCGGGCATACCTGTTGTAAATTGTAATGTTCTCACGAACTAACGAGTTATATCTCACGAGCCCCTAGCCTTAAATGCAGCAAGTAAATCGGAGCAGTGAATAATATAGAGATTTTTGAACGTTAAGAAAACTGACAACAGAATACCACAGCAGAGCACGCTAGCAAGGCGGGTTGTGCAGGTGTGTCTTTTCTCGTCACATTCAAACAAGCAATGCGGTCAAAGAAAATGGGACTAAATTGGCAAAGGTAACTTAGTCAGGTACCTCACCACAGTACCCCCATCCGAGACCGGAGGGCGGCGTGAACGACGCCGGAGGACACACAAAGGTCTAGGAGAAATGAGTAACTAGACGATCAGGAAAGTGAACGTGACGTCCACTGCGGGTGATATATGCGGGAGGCACTGTTGGAGGCAGCTGAGTAGGTGCTGTAGTGGGCAAGCTAAGGGTGGAGGAAGAGGTTCCAGTTTGATGCTGCGAACAAGAAGGAAGAGGAAGTATACGGGACGGAGGGATAGGTGGGGAAAGTGGAAAAGGAGTGGGAGGAGGTATGGGGTCAGCACATGCTTGTCCTTGTGACACGTCCGGGGGCTCCTCTGCAACAACAGCCTTGACCCGGACGATGCTGACTACGTCCTCTTTGTCACCTCGCAGGATCCGAAAGATCTTGCTGTTACGTGCAAGCACACGGAACGGTCATTCGTATGGTGATTCTAACGGCTTCCGCACACGATCACACCGAACGAACACATGGGTGAAGTTGGCTAAAGCTTTTTCAACATACGGCTCGGTCGATGGAGCTTGAGGTGGAACCGGGGAAAGCGAGCGCATGAATTGTCACAGACGATGCACAAAATTTTCGGGGGTCTCTTCGACACCGCCAGAGGTTGGGGTGACCATCTCACCAGGGAGTCGGAGGGTAGTGCCGAAAACCAATTCGGCTGCGCTGCAGTCCAAGTCTGACTTCAGTGCCGCACGAATGCCAAGAAGTGCAACCGGTACATTGTCTGACCAGTTTTCGGGATCTTCTGCGGCACGCAGTGCAGTTTTTAGCTGGCGGTGGAAACGCTCAACCATGCCGTTGGCAGCTGGGTGGTAGGCCGTCGTTCGAATACGTGTGCAGCCAAGGAAGTTGAGGAGAGTTTGGAAAAGTGTGGGTTCAAACTGCGCGCCTCGATCAGTCGTAATCATGGATGGCGCACCGAATATGGCGACCCAACGACTGACGAAGGCTTTCACAATGGTCTCAGCTTGCACATTCGGTAAAGGAATAGCTTCAGCCCAGCGAGTATATCGATCGACACAGGTAAGGAGGTAGGGGAAACCATTGGATGGAGGCAAGGGGCCTATGACATCCAGATGCACATGGCTGAACCGTGCGTCGGGACTGGGGAAAGTGCCTGGTAAGGACTTGTTGCGACGCTGCACCTTGTTGCGCTGGCAGCTCAGACACGACCGAGCCCAAGCTTTGACGTCCTTGTTCATCCCAGGCCATACGAACCTTTCCGTGAGGAGCTTCTGTGAGGCTCGAATCCCAGGATGGGAGAGTCCGTGGAGAGTTGGAAAAACAGCTCGACGCATCGAGGCAGGCACATAAGGGCGATGAAAAGGAGTCGATACGTCACAAAGGATTGTGCCAGTGCCGGTGGTCAATGGGACGTCAACTAATTGAAGACTGTTAACAGACTCGTCGCCAGGGCATCCAATACGTCGTTGTTCAGCCGCCATAGCACCAAGATCAATCCCGTGTGAGAGGTGAAACGCTGAGAGGAAAGGTCTGGACAGCATATCGGCCACCGCATTCTTCGGGCCATCAATGTGGCGGATGTCAGTGGTGAATTGCGAGATGTAATCCAAATGAGAAATCTCTCTCGGGTTATATTTGCCAGAATCGGATCGGATGGCAAATGTAAGTGGTTTGTGGTCTGTGAAAATTGTGAAGTCACGACCCTCAAGGAAGTGTCGGAAATGTTTTACGGCTAGGCAAATGGCGAGAAGTTCACGGCCAAACGTGCTATATCTCGTCTCGGCAGGTGAAAGCTTCTTGGAGAAGAATGCCAACGGTCGTGTCGAGTCGTTGATATGCTGTTGGAGGACTGCTCCTACGGCAACGGTCGAAGAATCAACCATCAGGGACAATGGGGCTTCTGGAGCAGGATTAGTGAGCAAGGTAGCATCAGCAAGGGAGGTCTTTATTCTCTCAAAAGCAGTCAGCGCGTGGCCACGTAACTCAAGGAGACCCTTGAGACCAGAGAGCAAGTAGGTGAGTTGCAGCACAAGGTCGGCACAGTTCGGTAGGAACCGGCGATAAAAGTTTACCATGCCAAGGAAACGTTGTAACTGACGCTTGGAGGTCGGTGGAGGAAAGTCACGAATGGCCTCAACCTTGGAAGAGAGGTGACGCAAACCTTGTGCATCGACATGGTGACCAAGAAAATCAAGGGACGGCACACCCAGAACACACTTGGAAGGGTTAATGACCACGCCAAACTGATCGAGGCGGTCAAACACTAAGGCAAGATGTTCTTTGTTTTCCTCGGCATTTCGACTGGCCACCAAGAGGTCATCGATGTAGGCGTACACAAACGAGACACCACGTAGGACTCGGTCAATGAACCTCTGAAATGTTTGGGCAGCATTACGAAGACCAAATGGCATGCGAACAAATTCGAACAGGCCGAATGGTGTGGTGACGGCAGTTTTGGGAACATCCTCAGGAGCGACAGGAATCGGATGGAAGGCCCGAACAAGGTCAATCTTCGAGAAAACCGATTTGCAGAAAAGAGCTCCAGCAAAATCTTGAAGATGAGGGACGGGATAGCGATCCGGGATGGTCGCATTGTTGAGGGCGCGATAGTCACCACAGGGCCGCCAGTCGTCTGATGTCGCCTTGGGCACCATATGCAGAGGGGACGCCCATGGACTCTCGGACGGGCGAATTATGCCCAGTTGCAGCATGTGCTCAAATTCGGCCTTCGCCGCTTGCAGACGGGACGGAGCCAGTCGTCTCGGCCGTGCGAATACTGGGGGGCCAGAGGTGCGAATGTGGTGGACAACGTCATGCTGGATCTGACCACTGCGAAACTGGGGTTTGATTATGTTGGGGTGTTGGAGGAGCAGGTCTCGGTATGGGCAAGCAATACCTGTGTCCAGAACAGATAAATTGCAGGAGTCATTAAAGGGTGTAAGACCGCGGACAGAAAGACCAGTTGTGCGGTCGAGGAGACAGGAACGCCGACAGTCAACAAGGAGATCAAACTCGGCTAGGAAGTCGGAACCAAGGATTGCATGAGGCATATCGGCAATCACAAATATCCAGGAGAATGATCGACGTAAACCAATGTTTAGCGTTAGGGAACGACTACCAAAAGTGGAAACGGGGGAACAGTTTGCAGTTTGGAGATGTAGACCAGGGCTAGGACAGCGGCGGTCAACTGGAGTGGGGGGAACCACGCTGATCTGGGCTCCGGTGTCCACCAGGAAGCGCCTGCGAGTCACATTGTCGCAGACATAAAAGGTGCGACCAGAGCTGAGAGAGCCAGAGAAAAAGGGTCGCGTCTATTCTCTGGCTGGCTGGTTTCCCTGTTTCGGTTTAAATGAACAATGGGAAGAACATTTGCGAGCCTTGGCGGCAAAGTTTGCGTGATACCAACACAAATTGGCTGTGCGAGGTCGCGAAAGTGAACGATGACGGCTGGGTGAGCGACTACAGGTAATGCGAGCAAGCTGTAATTTTAGGGAGGCTATCTCATTCGCCATAGCCGACATCTGTTGCAGTAACTGCTCGTTAACCGTTGAAGAGGATGTGGAAATCTGAGCAACGGACGGTGGCTGGAACCGTTGAACCTCTATCATTCGGTCTGCCATTTCAGCAAGATGTAAAAGTGTAAGGTCTTGCGAGCCGGATGCCAAAATCGTTTGGACACCTGCAGGCAGCCGCTCTAGAAACATCTCTTTAACGACCTGCATGTCTCCTAAGAGAGTACACATTCGTCAGAGAAGTTCTGAGGGCTTTCGGTCGCCCAGTGATTCCTCCTTGATCAACTGGTGGTAGCGTTGTCGGTCAGATACAGCATTGAGACGAAGGATTTCCGCCTTCAGAGCAGAATAGGGAGCGTCTGCAAGGGGTTTCACTAAC